GAGGTCTTTTGTGACTGGCTTTTTTCACATAGCACATTTTCCAGTTTCAGCCAGGTGATAACATTAGTATTTTCTTTCTTTTTATTGCTGAATTGTATTCTATTATATGGCTATACATCTTTTATTTATCAATCTGTTTGGTTTTTGTATTTATTTTTCTCCTACTCTTGGTTTTCTATTTATGGCCCTATTTTGGGAGAGTGAGATTAGGAATTCTATCCCCTTTCACAGAAGGATTTGGTGGATAGGCTTTTGGTTTCCCTTGTATTTAGCATTGCGGACACCATGTTTTCTTTTGAGGTTTGTGATAACAGAAGCTTCCCCTTAGCCCATGACCAGAGCAGGTCACCAGGGAGTGATGGTACCTGCAGGGCTTGCCAGGAAGCGTCACCCTTTTTCAGGATATTTACATCTGTTTTCCAAATTCCGCTTCACACATCTGTGTAATTACTATTTCAGGCAGTGTTTTTTAATTAATCCAGTTTATTTCAGAGAACAAAGAACATGCTACATTATTTTTGTAATGGTGTTAGCTTTATGGATTCCATATTGGTCAAGCACAATTGGAATACTAAACACAGATGCTTAACCCTTTGAAATCCCTGTGATAGACGATTTTGTTTAAAGTTCTGGTTTTCAACTGTGAGCAGTTTTGCTTCCCAGAGGGTATGTGGCAGTATTTGAAGATATTATTCTGTTGTCCTGATGGGAGCAAGTGGGTTGAGCTACTAAATTTACACGGAGAGACAACAAAGATAATACACAGGGCAGGCACCACCCCACCCCAGTTTGGTCTAAAATGTTCATTGCACGGTAGATGCGAAGCCCCCTGAGAAGAGACACAGCGGTAGGAAATGTGCAAGAAGTGAAAACCTGTATGTGATTGGCAAGAACTGCACCTTGAACAGTGTGGGAAACAGTGGCGTGTATTAATGAGTGTGTGCGTGTTCTTTAGAGAAAAGGAGGACTTTGGATTTCTTATATATTTTTTTAATATTTTTTATTGATTTTGTACAGAGAGGAAGGGAGAGAGATAGAGAGTTAGAAACATCGATGAGAGAGTCATCGGTCAGCTGCCTCCTGCACACCCCCCACTGGGGATGTGACCGCAACCAAGGTACATGCCCTTGACCGGAATCTAACCCAGGACCCTTCAGTCCCCAAGCCAACACTCTATCCACTGAACCAAACCGGTCCCGGCTGTATTTCTTATTTTTAAAATTTCCTTTGGCCTCCTCATCTTTGGTAATTCCTTATGCCCACTTAAAATAAAAAGATTATGTATTCTGGCTATTTAATTTTAAGTTGTTAATCGTAACCTAGAGTTTTGCTGTTTGGGGTACTTCCATCTTTTGCAGTCCCTGTGTTTTGTTATCATGTCTTTTTGGAAGAAATTAAGTTTTTGTCAGAGGCCACCGATCTTAGTTCTCCCACATGCCCCCAAAGCGACCCAGGGAGCGGAGGAAGTGCTGCTTACTGTAAGGGAAACCACTGCTGATCAGGGACATTCATTCTGTGCTCCTGTTTCACACCGCAAAGGCCACTCTCTGAGTTCGGCTAGCTCATTCCATCTCGGTTATTTAGGTGCTTTCAGTGAGACACATGTTCTGGGATTGAGTGTAAACTCAGGGTTGGTTGGGTTTACATATTCCTTAACCCCAAATGTAGAAAGCCCTTGGAGGGCGCACACAGCGCTTTGCTTATGAGTTGGATTTTGTCAGGTGGAGGAACTTCATAATCCATTTATTTTACGTGGAAGAATGATTCTCGGCACCACAGCAGTTTCAGATAAAACCCAGTCTTCCCTCTTCAAGGGTTTTCAGATCTGGTTCCTCTCTGGGTTCCTTTTTTCAAATGTCACATTAATATTGTATGTTGGTCATTGTATAATGAGGCTCAGAAAAAATTATGATGTTATAGGAAATGCAGAGGAAAATATCTATAATCTCACTGAGCTATGTATTAGAGTCAAATGTCAATGACAATTGCATTCCCTTCTGCTTTGGAACAGCACTATTCTTAGTTATCTGAAAGTTGAGGACACACACATTTTGTCGACACCTCTATTATTTCTTAAATTTTTCTTTCTAACTCACTGTTGGCAAAACGACTCTGATTTCTTTGTAAATAGAAACACAGTATATTATTTTGTAGGGAGTACTGTTGAGTACAAATTTGGATTTCTTTCTTTTTTGAGTGCTGAAACATTTGTACAAAATTTTCTGGACCATTTATCTATTGACTCTAGGGAGAGTGATCTTTTTCTTAAATTTATCAGAAGTCTGTATTGCATCCAAGAGGTTTTCAGCCCACTAAGCTCCTTGTTCTTTTTGGACTGCTGGTAGACCTGGGTGGGTACTTTTTCAATGTTAGAGGAATGTTTTAACAATGGTGTCAGCTGATATTTTTCTTTCTTGCTTGATTGGTCTGTTCATGCTCTGAACTTAAGCCTGATGGAGAAAATCATATGTTTCTGGATTTTCAGTTACTATCACCAGTGGATTACATGGATTTGGAAGTTTATTACTATCTGTTTAATAGATGATTTATCTAGGCAGAAATTTTGCAGGTACTAGAATAATTTTTCTTGAAAAATATTTAAAAACTTGAAATCCTATCTGAAAGCATATTTCTTATGTAGAAGGAAGTAATCTTGGTTTGTGCTACATGTTTCATTTTTCTGACTTTGCTCATAGGTTGTCAGCATTATTGCTTCATTGGTCTATCCCAAAGGTGGTTGTTAACATTTTTTATTTTCCTGAATGCTAAAGGGTATTTGAAGTGCTTTTAAAGGGAGATTTTTTCTGGTACTAGGTTTGACCCCCGATAAGAGTATATGATAATTGGAAAAAGTATATGATAATTTAAAAAAATATATATTTTATTGATTTTTTATAGAGAGGAAGGGATAGAGACAGAGAGCTAGAAACGTCGATAATAGAGAAACATCGACCAGCTGCCTCTTGCACACTCCCTACTGGGGATGTGCCTGCAACCAATGTACATGCCCTTGACCGGAATCGAACCTGGGACTCTTCAGTCCGCAGACCGACGCTCTACCATTGAGCCAAACCGGTTTCGGCATTTTTATGATTTTTTTATATATATATTTTATTGATTGATATATATATATATATATATATATATATATATATAATTTTTTATTTTTATTTTTATTATTTTTTTTTACAGAGAGGAAGGGAGGGAGAGAGAGAGTTATAAACATTGATGAGAGAGAAACATCAATCAGCTGCCTCCTGCACACCCTCCACTGGGGATGTGCCTGCAACCATGGTACATGCCCTTACCGGAATCGAACTTGGGACCCTTCAGTCCACAGGCCTACGCTCTATCCACTGAGCCAAATTGGTTTAGGCAATTTTTATGATTTTTGACATGATCAATGAGAATTTTCTCTGCTTATGGCATACAATTGCTTTGTTTGGTGTTGTCAAAGTAAAGAGGACGAATGTTTTGTTTGCATATGTTGTTTTATCTGGCCCTAATAACATGAGAAACGGATAGTTCTAGATCAGTTGTCTTTTTTTTTTCTTTTTTCTTTTTTCCCCCAGTAGAGTATTGAAGGCCAGAATTCTGAGTTTTCCCCTCATTTATCTTTAGTTCCTAACACCTGGCTCATAGATAATGTCTGGTACAGATTGCTGACCACATTAGATTAGCTATTGGGGAAGATGGTAAAAGATTGCAAAAGATAAATTACTGGTTGTTATGTCTGTTCCAAACTGACTTGTATCAGTAAACAAAACATTTTTTTCCCTCCTAAGAAATTTTTATTAGAATTGTGTTGGGTTGAAGTTTGGTATTTACTCTTATTTTTAAAAATCCTTAACTTCACCCTTTTCTTGTTGGGTTTAGTTTTAGGGAGAAGTTTATTATGAAAGCTATTAATAGTAGAAATTTGGAAGAATATATTAATAATAATCATCTAATAGTCCCTAATGAAGGTTATTTTTGGGAGCTGTTATATTTGGTGAAGGCAGAGATAATACATCTTTAGAGAAACAATTTTTTTGGGGGAAAATAACTAGAACAGTAGACTTAGAAGATGCGAACAGTTGTAAAGAAAGCAAAGAAATCTTGCTTTGAAGTCATTTTATTTGAGTCACCTCTTATGTTTATTGTTGTTGGAAGGCACTCTGGAAATTTTATGTTTATTGTTGGGAGGAAATCTGGAAATTTGGAGAAGTGGATAGAAGGAGTCATCAGAAGTTTGTAACACCTTGGACATTTTCTAAGGCTGTCCAAATTTTGGTTTTTTTGGGTGGAAATAATTTTTACTATAGGTTCTTTCTCTTTTGAATTAATTTAATGGCTATGAAGTGCCTTTTATATAATTGTACCCATTATATGTTGCCTACTAAAGTACACTTTTCCCTTAAAAAGGAAAGAACAATTGGTATCTAGAAAGTAGAGTTCATCTTACATATTCAGACATTTTTCTTTATTGCTGTTGTAGAAAATCCCAAACCGTATGCCAACTGAGGCCAAAACTATATATAATGAAATTTTTTTCACTTGTAATCTCCCCCTTCCCTCATGGCCCATGAGAAGTTTTTAGGGATAAAGTATGAGTAGGAGATTTATTTAACAAGACATTTCAGGTAGCTTAGCTGGTTTGGCTCAGTGGATAGAGCATTGGCCTGTGGATTGAAGGGTCTCAGGTTCAATTCCCGTCAAGGGCACATGCCTGGGTTGCTGGCTAGATCTCCAGTAGGGGGAGTGCAAGAGGCAGCCGATCAAATCAATAAAAAAATAAATTAAAAAAGAAGACATTTTAGGGAAAAAATATGAGGAAGTGATGAAGTAAAATCAATTTCTCTCTTTTTTCCTCCTAGCATTTTTGAAACGTTGGGGTTGTTGGAGTGGTTGGATTTTCCCTGGAATTGAGTGAGAAATTCAGAAGACTGAAGCCCAGGCTTACTGTCTACCTTTCACGGAGGCCTAGCCGTGAGAGGACAGAAGAAGGCACGTGGCGAATCATGACAGCTGACAAAGACAAAGACAAAGACAAAGAGAAGGACCGGGACCGAGATCGGGACCGAGAGAGAGACAAAAGAGACAAAGTAAGAGAGAGCGAGAGTTCACGGCCACGCAGGAGCTGTACCTTGGAAGGAGGAGCCAAAAATTATGCCGAGAGCGATCACAGCGAAGACGAGGACAATGATAACAATAGTGCCACCACGGAGGAATCCACGAAGAAGAACAAAAAGAAGCCGCCGAAAAAGAAATCTCGCTACGAAAGGACAGACACTGGTGAGATAACCTCCTACATCACCGAGGACGATGTTGTTTACAGACCAGGAGGTGAGCAGCGGTACATGGGGTCTGTACGTGTTTGTGGAGGGGAATGACATCACTGTCAGGTGCGTCGCACCTGGTAAAGCAGGCAGGGAGCCCAGAGGGTCCGTGGTAGGTTGGGTGGACAAACGCAAGGCAGGGAGCACGCTGGGCCTCTCTTGGCCAGTGGGTGCGCTCGCTCCTGCTTCTGGCCTGTGTCTGTCTCCACACGGTTCCCTCCCGGTCTGTGCACTTGGCGGTTCTCTCCTGTTTTCTCACGTCGCTGCTGCTTTCCCTGCATCTGCTCTGGTTTTCATCTGACTTCTTCACAAAATCAGGGTACAGCGACTCTGGTGCGACAGTAAACCTAAGGTTCTTGGGAAAGGACATTTTACATTGGCGACAGAAGTGGCCAGAGCTAGGGAGATATATTTAATGGCCTTTGATCGATGTTTATTTCTTCCGACAACCTTTTCTAAAGAATTGAGTGAGCTTCAGGTTCTCTAGTCAATGATAATAGCTGAAGCCACGTAACCTGCTTTGGTTTTCAGACAATGTGCTGTGTTCACTGGCTGCACTGAGGTGTATAGCATTGTGTGGTTTCAGAGGAGATGCAGAGCAGCAAGTGTTTCAGAACCTGTTGGGCACCAGCAAATCCTGGTTTTCCATTTGAAATATTGTGTGTATTCAGATACTTTTCTTACAGAAGTCAGTCAAACTAGCTACTAATCATTCTGTTTGAATTACTGATAGTGCTGAGGAATGACATGGATTTCTATGAGCTGTAATTAACAGATTAAAAGCAGCCCAGTTTGAAGCTTTTCCAGAAAAGGGAGATTGTAAGAAGATTGAGGTGTAACTGTTCTGAACCTCACATAAAGTACCACATTCTCCCCCTGCCTCACATATAGCAATTAGTTTTGAATTTCAAAAGAATCAATATTAGAACTTATATAGATAAACTTTATTCACAACTACAATTTCTTGGTTGATGATTAACTGAGGAGAAAGATATTTATGTAATATTAAATTACCCAAGTTCAGGTTGTAGAGAGATTAGAGCTCTGGTGTAGAGATAATGTGTAGATTCTGTGACAGTATCTTTGATTTAGACTTAGATATTGGACAGTAAGAATTTCTTAGCCACTGAAGACTGTCTCTTTATAGAGTTACTATTTAGTTCTAGATTATACGAAATGGACAGAATGTGGTAACTCCTTTGGCTATAGATTATAGTATGATAACTTAAAGTAAGAATTACTTGTTATCCTTTCCTCTTGGTGCATAACTCAGTGTGGTAATGCAACCATTTGGCTCGCTGCCTAGTGCGGTGTTGAATGCCTGCCTCTTTCCCTGGCACGTTATTCCCATATCAGTTATACCACCCCAGTGTTTATAGTCAAGTAAATGTGGGAAGCGCTGCTCACACACAGTGCCCCTCAGGAGAGCGTCAGAATTCATGGCTCAGAGAAGCCCTGCAGTTAAGGGACCTCTAACAGGAAAACAGAAGACAAAACCACGCTGCCCTTTCCCCACTCATGGGACCATGGCCCCTCTTCTTCTGCGTATCTCTCCAAGAGAAACCAGTTTTGAGAAAACTAGTTTGGGAACTGTGGCACATTCATATTGCACCTTGTGCAGAAGGAAGTAAGTCCGTCCTGCTTGATGTTCAGAAGAGGGCTGCTGCTAAGGGCTCATTTACCTGCGGTTTGGGAAGAACTGAGGGCCCTGGTGACATGTGAAAATAAAATAGCTGCATCTCTTTGGACTAAATATGTGGTTATAAAGGCTCTATAGAAACCAGAAATGGTTTGGAAGTTTCCTAGGGCATCCAGAGCGTGACCACTGGTGCAGGGTCCCTGTGCGTGGGTCTGGGCCCTGCCACGTCCGGTGGATGCTTAACTGTAGTAAGGAGCCTGTCTCTGACCTCCTCAGTGGTTTCTTTTCTTTTGGGGGATGCATTAGAACTGACTGACTTGGTGGCCTTCTTTAAAAAGTTTCTTTCTAAATGGAGGTTGTCAGATATTGCCTATTCTTAGGTTTACCTAAACTGAAGAGTCAGGGTCGGGTACTGTGATTAGATCCCCAGATGGGACTAGATTTTTTTTCCCCTTTGTCTTCCTTTCTGGTCTTTTTCATTCTTGGTGCAGAGTACTACAATAACACCTTTGTTAGTGATGAAAAAACTTTATCCTCCCCAGGGGCAGGGATTTAGTATGTTTAGTTGTATCTTTTTTTTTTTTTCTATATATTTTATTGATTTTTTACAGAGAGGAAGGGAGAGAGATAGAGAGCTAGAAATGTTGATGCGACCAGCTGCCTCTTGCACACCCCCTACCGGGGATGTGTCTGCAACCAATGTACATGCCCTTGACCGGAATCGAACCTGGGACCCTTCAGTCTGCAGACCGATGCTCTACCACTGAGCCAAACCGTCTTTGACTGTTTAGTTGTATCTTAACGTTTAGGTGGGAGGGAACTCTGTGGGACATCATAAAGGATTTCTTCAGTGTGTTACTTGTTGTTGAAAGTAGGTCTTTTATGCTCATTTGTTTCTCTAGGGTATGAAGCACAGGTTTTTCTCTTGGCTTTGTACTCTGCTGGATTGCTTTCAGTATTCAGATTAAGTATAAATTATAGGTACCTCTCCGAATGTCATTAGGAATGAGCCCACTAGTGAGTGATACCACGAGGATAAAAGTAGACTGTTATGTAACTGTACTACTTAGCCTAGGGCAGGGCTGGGGGCCCTTTTCTCTGCCACAGGTTATTTGGATATTTCTGACATCATTCGTGGGCCATACAAAATTATCAGCTTAGAAATTAGCTTGCGCGGAGACTGTTTTGGCTCAGTGGATAGAGCGTCAGCCTGCGACTGAAGGGTCCAGATACTATTCCAGTCAAGGGCATGTACCTTGGTTGTGGGCACATCCCCAGTGGGGGGTGTGCAGGAGGCAGCTGATCATGTTTCTCTCTTATTGATGTTTCTAGCTTTCTGTCCCTCTTCCTTCCTCTCTGTAAAAAAAATCAATAAAATATATTTTTAAAAATTAGCTTGCTGTATTGGTCAGACATTTAATTAACTCACCCCTAATGCTTTAGCAGGGCCAGACTAAATGATAAGGCTGCAGGCTAGATGTTCCTGACCCTGTCCTAGGGGAACAGGTCGATAATCAGATTATGTGGTCTGAGAAGAGATTTTATTGACAAATTGGGTGTTATTTAGAATGTATCCCTAGTTAAGGTTTAACCTCATGCATGTCAAAACCAGCTTGTTTTGCCCCGGCTCCTTATTTCTGGAGTTATTTGTACTTTGTTTATAGGAGCTCAGCATAATGGACATTTAGCTACACTGCCCTTGTTACTATTTGCTGCAGGGCCTTTGTACTTGCTCTTGTCACAGGCTAGTGAGCCAAAATCCTCCCAGTACCCATATTCTCAGGCACACTTACTCAATCCTTATCCTTTCTTCAGCTCTTTCATTCCAGGGCCATTGCCTTTCCTCCCCAGGTCACCCAGATTCCATTCAGAGAGACTGTCATAGCATTATGCATCTTTTCTTCCAGTGCAATACTTTCCTACTTTTTTTCTGTTACCGTTTTAAGGTTAATATCTCCTCCATAGAAGCTGCTGCTCGGTTTTTGTTTTTCATTGTATTCCTGGCATCTATGACAATAGTGTACACATAGTGTGCATTCCATAGTATTTGTCAAATAAAGGAATTCCTGAAAACTTTCCAAAGATCTATTGACTGATTACTGATGTCAAAATTAGAAAAATGCACCTGAAAGTTTATTTTGAATAATTTATTCCCTAATGATTGATTTAACTGACTTGTTCTAAAATAAAAAATAAAACAAACTTTATGGCGCTCTGTTACATATTGCCCCTGTGTCTAATCTGACTTCTTTGTTGCCTGTCAACCGTTACTCTACTTTTGAGATGACTGTCACGGTAACAAATTGATTTATTACACAGCTGTGTGCAGTCAAATTTTCCTTTTGGGCTTCTTTAGCATAACATACTGATTCCTAAAGCTTGCTGTGGGTAGCATATAAATTTCTTTCTACTGTCCCCTCCCCCAGCTTTATTGAGATATAATTGACTTATAACACTAATATGTACAATGTAGTTATTTTACATATATATATATTGCAAAAATAATTACCACAAGCATCCATAAGCTAACATAGTTGCAGTTTGTTTTGTGGTGAGAGATTTTAAAATCTACTCATAACTTTCAAATATACAATACACAGTGCAATATTGTTAATTATGGTTATGTGCTGTACATATGTCCCCAGGATTGATTCATTTTCTAATTTGAAATTTGTATGCTTTGGCCACTTTCACCAGTCCTTTCCTTCTCCTTTCTTTCTCTCTCCAAAATCACTAATCTGTTCCGTTTTGTTTGTTTTTCCCCCCAGAATCCACTTATAAATGAGATCATACAATGTTTGTCTTTCCTGTCTGACTTTTTCAATCAGGGTTCATTCATGTTGTTACAAATGACAGGATTTTCTTCTTTTTTAATGGCTGAATATATTCCATTATATATATATACTGTATTTTCTGCATTCCTTCTCCCCTTGATGGACAGGAGGTTGCTTCCAGATCTTGGCTATTGTAAATAAAGCTAAAACGAACCAGGTGCAAATAGCTCTTGGAGACGGAGACTTTATTTCCTTTAGCTCTTCACTCAGTGGATCTTGCGGGACCTATGGTAGCTACATTTTCCTGAGGAACCACCATACTATTTTCCATAGCGGCTGTGCCACAAGCAGTGTAGCCACTATTTTCAGTTTGATACTGTGGCTCCTTTATTCCTGCTCAGGTAAACAGTAACAAAATTCAGATTATTGGGAGGTACATTTTCATTTTGGTCTATCAGTTTTGTTTTCTCTTATGATTATCCATTTCTTATATTTTTTTGAATATATTTTATTGATTTCTTACAGAGAGGAAGGGAGAGAGAGTTAGAAACATCAATGAGAGAGAAACATCGATCAGCTGCCTCCTGCACACCC